GGTCGCCTCGGCAGTTGCCACATGCGAGTCGCTTGGCTTTCTTGGACGAGAACGACGAGGATGAAGGAGGGAGAAGTGGACACTCGGTCAAAACGTGCGCGCGATGGCAGTTGGCACATTGCAAGTCGGACGTGGTGAGACTGCAATGGGAATCACTCGAATCACTCGATGCAGGTTGAAGCAAGGGGCACAGGATCGTTATGTGGGGGCCTTTGCAAGTGTTGCACACGGGGGTGCGCTTGGCACTCGAGCGCGATGACGAGAAGGAAGGATGTTCTGTGGTGTGGCCAGATGGAGATGAAAGTGATACCTCCGTGTCGTCGCTGGGCAGATTGTGTACACTACCCACAGGACAGACACGATGAGAAACAAAGAGAAGGGAAGGAAGGACCTGATGTCCCCGTCGTGATGCATGCTTGTGACCATGAACTTTTGGAACAGCGCGTCCATCTTGTGTTCCCATACTTTGTTGGACGATGGGACGAGGGCGGCTGGTCGGACGACGACGGCGCCATTGCTGCCGGGACGAACGTTGTTGATTTCGACTACACACTGTAACATGACAGGAGGACGTTTGTGAGGACATGACAAACCTGTTGGGAAGAAGGTGGAGGTGGAGCGAGTAACTTGACCGCGGTGTGTGTGGCCAAATGTCCTCGCATGTGGATGAGCTTAAAGCACCCAACACAATATACATCATGACAGCATCCATTGCACGACAACGTCGCCGAGGCAAAGTTGCAGTAGACGCACTTGCGCGACGCCCGGAGGATGTCGTCGTACGGATCGTCGACCGCTTCGGTTCGGGTGGCGAGGCGATTCAGGCGCTGCATGTGCCACAGGCGCCAGCTGGCATTCTCGAGGCGATTTCCCTCGCTAATGAACCTCTTCATCGTCGAGAACGATTGCCATGGCATGCGCACAAAGTCATCAGGTCCCGCCACTTCGCTGCCCAGCATGCTGCAGGTTGGAGACTTGAACGTCAAAAGCACGAGGACGAAATTAAATTGCCAATTACTATTTGCATACAAATATGAGGTAGTTAAAAAAGGTGTTGTGTTTCGTCAAGATCAGACACTAATATCAAGTCAAGGCCTCAACAACGCTTTGATTGGTGGAAACATCAGGCAAACAAACAATGATTGGATGAAAACTAACCAAACTAGAGGGATTTCGGGTTTGTTTGGCCAATCAAAACGCGACAATTTGAGAGCGAGGAACATTTTGATATTTGCCATGGCGGGAACACCCAACACCACAGCCGAGGCCGCGACGCCTGCCGCCTCATCCCCGAC